AGCCCTCTTTCTTTTGGTTCGTGGGGGAGCGGGGAAGCACAGACACTGCTGTGCTGGGCTCCTCTGCTGCACTGGGCCAAAGGGGCAGGCCTATCAGAGTCTCATGCTGCTTCCGTGCTATTGTTGCTCCCTGCTGAAGAGGCGGGCCTACCAGAGGTTTGCAAGCTGTTGCCAGTCTCTTAACTATATTTGATGACTGCTACAGTCTGTCTCATACATTCTATCTATTATTTGTATGAAAAAAATAATTCTTAAAAGCATGGGCAGCATTTTTTTCAGGGCTCACTCCTCATGGCATGAGACATAATTGTAGAGTTGGAAAACAAAAGCTTCTAATGTACTGTTCACTGATAAGTTTATCAGGAGCTGCCCTTCCTGTATGTGAGATCATGCAGAACTTAGACCATGAATAATGTGCTATTTCTGTGAGGAAAGCACTCTGGACAGAGCTACATGCCCTGGATAACACGTCCAAGTTGTGAGGGTACCGATGGGTTTGCTTCTGTTGTCAGCATTTGATTATGATGACTAGCATGTTTTGAATGCTGTGTACAAGGTCTTGGGGTAAAGGTTTTATATTCATGACCTTATTTAATCCTCATTACCATTATGAAGTAGGCACTTTATAGATTGAGATGAAGGTTAATAGGTTAAATGATTTGATCATTCAGATTTCTCATTGATGGAACCAAATTCCCAACAAATACAACACCTAAAATTTAAAGGAGGAAATGGTTTATTTGGCTCACAGCTTCAGAGAATTTAGTCCATGGTAAACTGGCTCCAAAGCAGAAACATCATGATGAAAGGGTGTGGTGCAACAAAGCTCCTTAGGTTAAGGTGGCTAGGAAGCAGAGGAGGGGAAGAGAACCAAAGAGGAAGGAGTAAGGTCCTAGATATAGTGCCAAAGGCCATGCTTCCACTGTCCCCCCAGACACATGGAGAAATGTGCTTTACTTATGTCCTAGGCAGGTTCTGAGTCAATCAAACTGACAACTCAGCTTAACTGTCACAGCCAGAACCATGAATTTTAAAAATACAGAACTGGAGTTTGAAGTCTATAGTAACAGGACCATTAAGAATTACTGTATATGGGCCAGTGGCAGAACTGAGTAGCAGCTCTCTGTCTGAAATGCAGATTTTACAGTAGTGGGTTTTCAAAGTCACTATAGGAAAAGCTCTTCATTTATTTACTGGCATCATGGAGAGTTTACTCCAAGGTCAGGTACTATTGTTGAAATTGTGCAGAAGACAAAGGTTATGCTGGGAGATTGGGCTGGAAGAAGGCCTGAGAAGGCATCAACTACTAACGTTCTGTAGCCAACTCTCAGGATGGGAAGAAAGGACAAATTCCTTCTAGGACCCCAAAGACCAAGGACTTACCTTGGAGCACAGCTAGAAAATAACTTCAAGGAAGAGAATGTGAACTAGGGGGCTGGATCCTAAATCTCCATGGATCTCTTGGGTCTTAGTTACTTTTCTCTCATTGCTGAGACAAAAATATCTGACAGCCAAAGTTAAAGGAGGAAAGGTTCATTAGCTCACAGTTCTTAGAGGTTTGAGTCCATAATTGGCTGGCTCCAAGGCAGGGTAATGTATGGCAGAGTGGCAACAGTTCACGGCAGCAGAAGACAGCAAAAGCAACAAGAGACCTTTACAGTGTCTTTCTGCCCATTTTATCTTTTCCAGACTACTAGAATTAGGGTGGTGTCTAACCCTAATAGACTGATTTAGTAATCATGATCCTTAATCCCAGCATCACAAACTCTAGATTTAGTCACCTCTGAAAGAGCCCTATGACCACATGAGGCTTTGGGGGCAATCTAGACACAGACCACAACAATCTCCCAAGGAGTCCTTGTACAAAAACCTTCCTGGGTGGTACCCAATACTGATTATGCATTTCTTGGCTGGGAACCATCCCAGGAGCCTGCCAATGAAAACAATAGGCCTCATATGGACTTCTCCCATGGAACATGGCAAGAACATAGAACTAAGTTTATGGAATTATATCAATATGGATATTGTGTTGAGAAAATATGCTGCATTAAATCAATCGAGTCATCCAACCATTGATCAAGATTTTCCAATGCAGATCTTACTTGTCCATGTAACTTTAAAATTTTTTGTTGCATTTTTCCAGCGGGTCTCATCATCTTATCAACAATTCTACACCATTGGCTTAGAAACTGATTGGATAAAACCCTGTTTCACGAATATACATTGTGCCCTGTATGCAACCCACCCAGTCCCAAGTCCTTGTTCAGTCACCAACTGTAGCCAACCCACCCAGCTGCCATTCACCACCAGTCTCAGGTCTCTTCTGCCCCAGGCACCCATGGGGAGCCAGCTCACTCCTCTGAGCTTTCCCCACCCAGGTGCCAATCGTGGGAGACCTAGACCTGCTACTTTGCTCTCCCTGATCTGGGTGATTAAGGATGACATGGAATCAGAAACAGACACGGACAGAGTCCATTTAATATGCTGGCAACTAGGGGGCTCTCACCTCTAGTAGGCAGAGTCCTTGATGTCTGGCTCATCTTACCTTTACTCATCCAAACACAGGTACAAGCAATCAAAGTAACTCAGATTCATCTGGTTTCCAATATCCATTAGCATACTCAGCTAATCTCAGCTGTCTTAACTATTCCCTAGAATCTGCAAAATGCAATCATCGAGTGGAGCCTTTCTTCTCTGTGCTCACAGAGGAAGCCAATTTGGCCTCAATTTTCCTCTGGTCTCCCAATGCCCCCCACTGTAAAAAAGCAAAGCTCCTCAAAGATGGGGGTAGCACTATCACTCTTTATCTTTCACTGACTTAGCCCCCTGAATGGCCACTTGGTTCCTTACAGCAAAGCCACCAAAGTCCCAAGGCTGTGCTGGAAACTGCCAAGGATGGTTGTATGAATTTTAGTTACACAAAAGGGGATCTCCATTGGGTAAAGTGGCACCATTTTGGTCTATGGAGCTACTTGTATACATCTGCTTCTTTGATGAAAGGTTAGTGGAAAGGAGCTGGTCCCACTCTAGTTCCAGAGCTGTTAGCTACTCCTCACATCCCACTTTCCAATAAGCAATGGGACCCCAACTGAGCCCAAGTCACTGACCACCAATACATCCCTATTGAGCTCCAAAATTCAGAATGAGCTACTCTCACCCTTTATGACAGGCCTCCTCCCCACTGCAGGCAAGTCTCCTTCCAAGGAACAGTACTGAACTCTGAAGGCATCTGCTAGAAAACGAGGGAGTTTGCACAAACTTTCCTTTTATCTCATTTATGTTCCTGAGTTTACTTCTAAATCGTCTTACTACAGTAGTCTACTTCAAGCAGGGATCTAGAAAGCAGGTCATTGATTTCAAAACTCTAGGGCTGGGCATATAGTGCAATGGTAGAGCACTTGCCTAACTGGGAAGCATCTCAGAAGAAAACCCACAACAAAAACCTAAAACAAAATGTCATTGGTGATTGCTTCCAAGGTTTTCTGAAGTGTTTTAAAGCCAACTGTTAACTACTTGGAGAAACAGAGGTTGGGTTTAGTTAGCTGATTTGATACGTCAGAGTCTGCTTTTAGTGATTTAAGGCTTGCAGCTGGTTTAACTTGGATTAAGGTGGCGCCTGTCAACTTTGGCACTGTGATGGGCAGATGCTAGGAGAGGAGATCAGGCAAAAAGCTGCCAAGTGGGGCTGAATCCCCCACCTGGCTTGACCCCAGCTGCTTAGGTTGGCCCTCTCTCCTTCCCTGCATGAGGCCCAGCAACCACTGCTGCCCAATTAACTATATGAAGGGGGTTACATCTTAAAATATCAATAATCCACAAAGCAGTTAATGTGACTTGATCAGGGGGATTTCATAATTATCCAATAGAAAAAGCAACCTGATTTTGTTAAATTTCAGGTTAATAATGTATCTATATATCCCATTTATTTGGCCTTTGCTAAAGCAATCTCAGACAAGGAAACACTAGCAACAGAAACAAGCAACAGGGGGACTGAGGTGGGGAATGGGATACTAATTTTTTAAAAACCTGGGCCAGGGATTTAGCTCAGTGGTTCTGCCATCTGCCTCACAAGACAAGGACCGATGTTTGATCCCTAGTACCAAAAAATAATTAATTAATTAAACTACCAAAAAAAAAGTTAATATTGCAATATATCAATAATTGTTTTGTTCTACTGAATTGTTCAATGTGAATTATATCTCAATAGTTTTTTAAAAAAGCAGCAGCATTACAGCCTTAAAAGATTTTACTTTTTTTCAAAGAAATAGGACATATTTTATTTAAAATTATATATTGCTACTGACATTGCTACATAATAGTGGAAGGTTAAGAGATTTTTAAAATCTTTATTAAAATATTGGCTGTGTGATTTTGGACAAGTAATTTTCCTTTGCTGTTTCCAACCATCTTCCTGTCGCCCAAAAGTCACTGGGGCCAAAAGATTTTACTCTTGAAACCTTATTGAATTAGATGCCATTTACTTATGCTTTTTTTCCCCTATTGTCTAGACAATGTGCTTCAAGAAAGCAGTTTCTCTCAGGTACAACTATTGAGTAAACATCTGACTCTGGCTTTCATGGAAGACCAAACAAGTAACTTGTTAAAAAAAATGGATTTATGTACTGACTTGGCCCTAAAGCTGTCTCAGCCCTGGCCACATGAGAATCACCTGGCGAGCTTGTAAACTTGGATGCCCTGGGCCAAACCCAGCCAGATTTGTTCATTCTCCAGGGCCAAGGTCCAGACAACACCAGCATGCAAACATCCCCCAAGAGACACTGCACTGCTAGGATAAGACTCCTGCCCTAAAGCTAAATGGTAAAGCTCGGGTGAAGGGTCCCCAGTGCAAGGAGAGGAACTGAGTCTTCATTCCTGTTGCACAGTTCTTAAGCCTGCTCTGGGGCATTCAGGGAATGAAGGCTGGGAGTAAGAGGGAAGGTGGTTTACTATTTCAAAAAACAACAAAATGGAATGACGTCAAGTTCACAAAAACTTTTATTTGAGGCAAAAAAAAAAAAAGTTTGGCTAATAGGAATACAGTTGTAAAGAGTCAAAACTTAGCTGTTAGTAGCAATATTTATACTTTGTAGATGTTGCTTCTCTTTGGTCAGAAAGGGCTATCTGGGTTGCACCTTGCTCAGCTAGGCAAGATGAAAGGCAAAAAAAGACTGGAAGAGACACCTCATCTACTGTACTGCTCTTCACACTCAGCGTCAGACTAACAGGCCCTCAGTGCTTTGTCTCTAGGTCTCTACCCACTACCAATGGACACAGGATACTCTACAGTTGCAAGGACAAATGAGGCAGGAATACAGGTGCAAGTAACTTGGAGAAGAGCAGGCATCCACAGCTTCAAAACTCGGCATGGAAGGGATAATCTTTGTGGGTGGCAGCGCTGTCAGAAGAGAACACATTTGCTATTAAAGGAAGAGGTCTTCACTCTTAACTAATTACCAACACAGAATTTGGGTAAATGTCCAAAGGCAAAAATAAATGTCTTGGGAGGGAAAAATCTCAAGTCAGTTTTGAGTCTTCAGATCAGTGTGCAGTTGTGCAGTGTCCAGCTTCGTGTCCTCTGCCAGGGCTACTGTCAAGCAGCACATGTGAGCACTGGGCAGGCACCATGCATGGTGAGACCCAATACCTTCCTCCTGGTAGTAACTCCAGTCTAGCTAGGAGGATCACATTGCAACTTACTGTCTTAAATAGTAAGTGGGGGGGGTAAAGAAGAAGAAATAATAATACAATAGAAGTATTAAAAGGCTATGGAGACAGAAGTCCAAAGGATAGGTAAAAAGCAACTACTCCCAGAGGAGGGAAGGAGGGGAGAGAGGAGAGGAGAGGAGAGGAGAGGAGGGGAGGGAAGGATGGAATGGGTGAGATCTACAGTACCAAGGAACCACAGAAGACAAAAATCTAGGTGTGTAGGCTCACCCTCCTCTCTGCTGGGGCCAGTGGCTTATAGTGGAAACAAAATGGCAAGAACACTCAAAAGACCAACCAAGTGGTGCGTGAAGGGCCCAGGGTGAACCCAGTGGAGTACAATGGACCCTCAAGTTATGACCAGCCTGACATATAAGCAACTTGGGTTAATCAGGTTAATGGAAGATTCACCTGCCTCTTGTTATCTATAGCGTGTACCCAGGTAAACATCCAGATCTCAGCTATATAGGCTTACAAGCAACTTGAGTTACAACCGGACCTCAGGAACTAATTGAGTTCATAAGTCAAGGAACCACTGTATATAACTCACTCAAGAATTCAAACTCATTCTAAAGGTCCCCAGGCCCTGCTCTCCCCACCCTTTTCTGAATATCTGAGAATATGACACTGTCACTAGCAATCGGGCTTGGGGTAACAATATGTGATAATTGGAGGGTTGGACTGTTTGAAAACACTTCCTGGGAGACTTGTGAGCATTAGGACCAGCCTTTTTCCTCAACATCAACCCCAACCCACACCCAGTGCATAGGATAACTGGATGGCTGCCTCTAGAATAGCCTGTTGGGATGTGAGGGACCTATCAGAGAAGCACCATGGTTTGTCAGCCCTGAGGACTTTGGTGCTCTGTGCCAGCAGAGGGAGGGGAGAGGGAAGATGGAAATGAATGTGGCAGGCTCTAAAAGCTTGGAGTTAAACCAGCCATTGCCTGACTTCTCTCTCTCTCTCTCTCCATTAGGTCCATATGTGACTGTCACGTTGAAAGGACATCAGAGGGCCCTGGTTGGGGCTCCCCAGGCTGGCTCTGGGTGTGGCCTGATTAGGACCTGTGGCCTGTCTGTGTGAGGCTCACAGCACTCATGCTTTGTTCACAAAAGTTAGTATCCAAGATGCAAACTGCACACCTGCCTGATGCCACCAGTCGGAACTCTGAACTGGAGAACACACAGTGAGACTGCCCTAGCTCAGGACCCTCCAAATTCTACCTATGAGAGGGGGAACTAAAGGAGGGAGAGGAGAAGTTCAGACAAGAACAAGGACAGTGAGGACACAGCAGCCTGTCTCCACTGCTAAGTGAAAAGCTGCTTCCTAAAGCAAAGAGTGATTTTTAAGTTTTATTTTGTTATTGAATTGTCAGGAAAATAAAAAATACACACCCAACTAGTGACCTCCTGTACAGTCTAACCTAACTTCAGAGAGACTATAAAGAACCTGGGCAGGTGCAGTTGGAGGGGCCTCACTCTCAGTAGCTTTTTCAGAGTCACAGGTCTTCTTAGTATCAGTACGGGTATGTCTTGAGCCAAGCACCTGGGTCTTCCTAATAAATCCCTCTTAGTAGAGTCATTCAGACAAAGGGTTAAAAGCAAATTCTTCCAGGAAGAGGAGGCAGGCCCTATCTGGGTTCATAAGAGCCACTAACATTTGGAAACCAATGACCAAAATGCGTCCAGTTGGGCCCACAATGCCCTCAGGTGGGAGGAGATACCTAAAGCAGATCTCTTCGCATTCCCCCCAGGCCCTGTGCAGTTCAGGTGACCCAGGTGTACAGTTTCCTGCTATGTGGGGATAGGAAAGCGAGGTAATAAGCAAAAGTAATGGGGGCAGGGGGCTGTGAAGAGAAGACTGGTCACCAAGGTCTGCAGGGACTGCTCCTGTTCTGCAGCATTTGGTGATCTGGCAATTGGTCACTCACTACAGTGGGACTCACTCACCTCACCAAGGCACAGACTCTCCAGGTCCTGTTGTAGCTGAGTAAGGTTGCCATGTCCTCACTGCTTAGCTCAAAGTCAAAGACCTTAAATGAACAAATAAAAACACAATAAGCTCTGCAATAAAAATGAAAGACAAAAATGTTGCATATGAACAAGATGGCTTCCATTGTCCAGAGGGAGGACAGTAAGGTGAAATGGACTTAGAGAAAGGCTACATCACTCTTCAGAGAGAGCACACATTTTGGCCAGGTCTGACACAGTTCTTCCCTTCCAGAACTGTGCATTCCACTTCATTTTTCCACACTACTGACCACAGCTACTGTGATAAGCACCACAGAGCAATGTAATGGGCAAAACATGTCTTTGCCTCCATTCACTGTGAAGCAGAGGACAGAGGTATTTCACCAGCTGTAATATAAGGAATAATTCATTAATCATTTACTGCATAAATCATGAAACAAAGCCCTTGGGAATCCACAGGCATGAGAAATGGATTCCACCGGGGCGTTAAAGGACACAGACAGAGAAGAAATGGTTTTGAGATGGCCTAAGAAAACACATACACGTACGTTTTTTGGCAGAGAGAACAAGAAAGGGAGACTGGGAAGGCAGGATCACTTGCATGAAGGCAACAGTCTCAGCCTGTGTTCTGGGACACAGACCCACTGAGAGAAACAGTGCTGAGAGAAACCTTAGCTTCAGATATCACAGAATGTGCAGAATGGGAGTTAGCTACATACTCCAAATACAGCCATGGGAAAAATGTGCAAAGAATACCCAGTGAGATGTGAAAATAAAACAACTGGGTTATCATTTGGAGATTAATCATTCACATTTTTCTTTTCTTATACCTTAAAAATGAACTATGAAACTAAGGCTTTATGTCAGGAGAGTATGCCTTTCCCACTGTTTTGCTGCTCTATCTTGAACAGTTAAAACATCTAGACATAGGAAGAAACTGTCTCCTCTACAAAACTATAAGCTCCCCCGCCACTTTAGTATGTGACAAGTGGCAAAGCTATGGCTACAGCATCCTGCCATCCCAGAGGGCGAAATCAGTTGCTGCTGTGGACCTGGGGTCATCCCGAACCTGTGCTGGGGACTGTGGTGCTGAAGATCCCCATGACCAGGGTTGTGCCATGCTCAGCAAGGACAGTACCTGGGCAGAGCTGCTGTGCTCAGAGGACAGAGGTTCACAGGCCACTGGGATCACTGGGGAGCAGCTGATATAAGCCCACACACTCTGCCCACGATGGCACTGGCTCTTTGCAGAGCTGGTGGGTCAGTCAAGTGGCCCGAAAGGGGCTTTGTAGTCCATGGACCTGTCATTCCTGAGCGCTATTGTCAAGCACTGTGCAAAGTACTTTGTGCATCAATTTGTTGAACCTTCACAACAACCCTCTAACAAGGTATTATTGAAGTAACTTGCCCAAGGTCACAGAGCTGGTAACTAATGGAGATCTAAGGCAAATTAACCATGTTGTCCAAGAATGACATGTTCTCAGTGCAAACACTTAGGGTCCTTGAGGAGTCTCACCAAGTGTATGTGGGGGTGTTCGGTGCAGGGGCTCTGAGGCATGAGGCAAGTCCCCAGCACAGGGACCCACCAACAGGAAGTCACTATCTCAATTCCATGGTTTACTCACCACAGCTTACTGAGATGGGCTTGCTGGTCTAGCTTGCGGGTCAGAAAGGACAGAACAGTGGCAGGAAGACTCATAGATGAGACAATCCAGGGACAGGATGAGGAACCCCACGAAGTCTCTCTCACCACTGCTGCACTGCAGAAAGCCAGGCTACCAGCTGGGATCTTACCTGAGAGTTCTCAGCAATACGTGCTGGTGTCACAGATTTGGGGATCACTACCAAATTCCTCTGTATGGGGAAACGGATCAGCACCTGTGGAGCCAGAGAGGCGTCGAATGTGTATGTGGTCCAGACACTGCATTGCCATCTCACTTAATCATGCACACTCATAACTCAAGCGGGGGGACAGGCCAGGACTGCATGGATGAGAAAGGAGAGGCTTCGAGATGTCCAGGTCATACCCTTCGACAGTCATCCTGATCCAACTGGAGCCCTGCTCTTAGTCACTGTTTCCATGTACATTATAGAGCCACAGTCAGTTCACTCAATGCCTAGGGATGTGGGAGAAAGGGAACAATTTCCCCCCACACGTGGTAGTAAGAGGTCTTCTGTTTATACAGAGATAAGCTTCTAAAAAAACTGATAAATGCTGACCTTCGAGCAGTCCACAAGGCAGCGGGAGCAGGTACTACTATTTCAAAACCATGTGGCACAGTGTTTTAAAGTACCAGACTATACCCTTTCCACTATGTACTTCAGGATCCAAACCACACCCACAGGGCTTGATGACCTTTCTTCCTTCTTGCTAATAGGGGCCACAAAAAAGTGCAGGGAGTTTTGGCACAGTCACAGTGCCTAGAAATGGCCATACCTGGGCAGTAGTTTTATTGTAAACTGGCTCTTTGCAGAGCTGGTGGGTCAGTCAAGTGGCCCGAAAGGGGCTTTGTAGTCCATGGACCTGTCATTCCTGAGCGCTATTGTCAAGCACTGTGCAAAGTACTTTGTGCATCAATTTGTTGAACCTTCACAACAACCCTCTAACAAGGTATTATTGAAGTAACTTGCCCAAGGTCACAGAGCTGGTAACTAATGGAGATCTAAGGCAAATTAACCATGTTGTCCAAGAATGACATGTTCTCAGTGCAAACACTTAGGGTCCTTGAGGAGTCTCACCAAGTGTATGTGGGGGTGTTCGGTGCAGGGGCTCTGAGGCATGAGGCCAGTCCCCAGCACAGGGACCCACCAACAGGAAGTCACTATCTCAATTCCATGGTTTACTCACCACAGCTTACTGAGATGGGCTTGCTGGTCTCAGAAAGGACAGAACAGTGGCAGGAAGACTCATAGATGAGACAATCCAGGGACAGGATGAGGAACCCCACGAAGTCTCTCTCACCACTGCTGCACTGCAGAAAGCCAGGCTACCAGCTGGGATCTTACCTGAGAGTTCTCAGCAATACGTGCTGGTGTCACAGATTTGGGGATCACTACCAAATTCCTCTGTATGGGGAAACGGATCAGCACCTGTGGAGCCAGAGAGGCGTCGAATGTGTATGTGGTCCAGACACTGCATTGCCATCTCACTTAATCATGCACACTCATAACTCAAGCGGGGGGACAGGCCAGGACTGCATGGATGAGAAAGGAGAGGCTTCGAGATGTCCAGGTCATACCCTTCGACAGTCATCCTGATCCAACTGGAGCCCTGCTCTTAGTCACTGTTTCCATGTACATTATAGAGCCACAGTCAGTTCACTCAATGCCGAGGGATGCGGGAGAAAGGGAACAATTTCCCCCCACACGTGGTAGTAAGGGGTCTTCTGTTCATACAGAGATAAGCTTCTAAAAAAACTGATAAATGCTGACCTTCGAGCAGTCCACAAGGCAGCGGGAGCAGGTACTACTATTTCAAAACCATGTGGCACAGTGTTTTAAAGTCCCAGACTATACCCTTTCCACTATGTACTTCAGGATCCAAACCACACCCACAGGGCTTGATGACCTTTCTTCCTTCTTGCTAATAGGGGCCACAAAAAAGTGCAGGGAGTTTTGGCACAGTCACAGTGCCTGGAAATGGCCATACCTGGGCAGTAGTTTTATTGTACTTGTCTGCAATTGTCTTAATCCTGGGATCTTCCAGGATGGAAGGATCTTCTGGCTTAGCCCTGGAGCAGAAAGATGGTTCAGTTCAAGACTCATCATCATAGCAGCCCATGACCCCAACCCCAACCTTCCCATCAACCTCAGGGTAGCTGAAGCTGGTTCATCACTTGCTGGCCAACCCTTTCGGGAAAAAGCAGGCATTTGCTGCTGAAAACTCCAATCTCCCAAAAAACCCAAGAGGCCCTGGGGCAAGATGTGCAGACCAGGCCAGAAGCTTTCCCCTTAGATAACACAATACCACTGAGAGCTCACCAGGGCCTGTCGGGAGAGCCGAGGGGGCTGTAAGCAGTCACCACAATGCCTTTGGAGTGGCAGTACTGGATCAGCTTCTCCTGAGTTAGGTACGGGTGGCATTCAATCTGCAAATGAAAACAGAGGGGCTGATGGTGGCACTGTGGGCACAGGTGGATGTGACACAGGCAAAGTTTCCTCACACTAAATCCTTTTCCTCCCCACGGACAAAATGTTCTATTTCTCAGATAAGCCACAAGAACTTTCCACATTTCCTAGCTAGTGTCCTCAACACTAAGAGCAATAATCTTATGACTGATGTTCCATGGTCTTATGCCCTAAAGGCTTTCACTGGCCCTCACCATTTATCAATTGTCACAAGAGGCTCTTGTGGGCTGTGCACTGCTCTTCTGTCAAAGTCTGTGTCATCAAAGGCCACGTTCAAACCTTTGCTGTTTCCTGCAATGCTACAACTCCCAAATGTACTCATCTTGATAAATCAGAGCTCAGAACTCTGCCAAGCCCACAAACTGCTACCAGGCTACTTCCGGAGTGATGTGACCAGAAGTAACTTCCAGGATCAGATAATCCAACAGAATGCCATCAACCCCAGCTTCCCTGGTGGGAGGCTTACCTGATTAACTGCTGGTTTATATTTTAAGCCAGGTTTGTTTAAAATCCTCTCAATCTGAAGATGGTTGAAGTTAGAGACGCCAACTGCTTTCACCAGCCCTTCATCCACCAGCTCTTCCATGGCCTAACAGAGAATAGTGCGTGTTTAATGCTGATGTGAACCCCAAAAGGACAAGAACCAGAGGCATCCTTAACACTATTCAGGGCCAGCTAATTATACATTTTAGAGGCCAAGAGACTACAAGATGAAATCTAGGTTGCCTTTCCTACGACAAGCAGAGCAAATACAGTGACAAAGTAACAAATGCAATGTAGGAAGTGGCAGCACAGAGCACTCACACACCTCACATTCTGCCAGACAGGAAACCAGGAATAAAGGATCGAATCCTGGTGGGGGAGGGGTCATCTTACCGTCCAGGTGTCCAGAAAATCAGTGTCACTGGGAATCACGTTGCCTGTTGCATCCAATGGGAAATATTCAGTCCCATGCTATTATTACAGTAGAAAACAGACACACAAAACAATCAGTAACGGCCTTTCACAGATTTGCTGGGGAGCTCTCTTTAGAAAAATTATTGTAGGGCCGGGAATTTAGCTCAGTGGTTCTGCCGCCTGCCTCGAAAGCACAAGGACCTGAGTTCAATCCCTGGTACCAAAAAGAGAAAAGTTATTTTAATCTTCCATTGTTGGCTATGATCGTGGAGAATAATATGAGGTAAATCTGAGAGCCAATATGAAAAGGAAAAAGACAAATAAGCCCTGGTAGTTCCTGCTGCTGCTTCAAGTTAAGCAGGTTGAAGCTGAGAGACTCTCAGATGGCAATCTGGATAACCCTCTGAAACTGAGACTAACCTCACCATGCACTGGAGTGTGTAAACAGGGGAAGGGCTCAAGTCCTGACTGGCTACTGGCCTATAAAACTCACCATGCCAACTCTTACTTGTTTAGCATGAAAAATGATGAATGAAAGTCATGTCCCTTCAGGAACCAATATACCTACCACAGTGTAATAAAATAACTATAGTATAAAACCCACATTCTTTCGCCTCAGCTAACCAAGCAGAAACTAAGCCAGGAGTTAGAAAGAAAACAAGACTTAATGATCTCAGAGCTCAGTGTGTGCAAAAACCCAGGCTGTGAAGATATATTTCTCTAAGATAAGGTATACACATAGAATGCAGGTACAAACATATGTGTAAGGTATGTATGAACACGTGTGTGCATACACCTGGAGGTGAAGAGGGTGAGGGCTGATCAGACCTTATGGCTGTGTGAAGTAGGGTTAACAACAGCCATATTCATTGCCACAGATTTAAATTACGCACCCCAAGAGAAAAGAGCAATGCTTCCCAAACTCTAAATGTGACCTGAGTCACCTGTGTTCAGACTCAGACTGGCTGGGGCCTGAGACTGCGGTTTCCAAGACACTCTACATGACGTCACTGCTGCTGCTCTAGAGATGACACCTTGAGAGGCAGGGACAGAGAGATCTACCACACAAAAGGGGTGCTAATCAGGAAGCTCAAAATAGGCCACAGGTTACACCTGAGCCTCGGGCCCCTACCTTGAAGCCTGTCGGCCAGTGGACAAGGTAGAGGTCCAGGTAGTCCAGCTGCAGGTCAGTGAGCGTCTTCTGGAAGGCTCCTTTCACCAGGCTCTTGTCATGGAATGTGCTCCACAGCTGAAACCAGCAAGAGCACATCTTATCACTTCCATGCAAAGGCTGATTCCCCGGCTGGGAGTCTGACAGCAACAAGAACTATCTCTTTCCCCACAACCCAGCCATTTTTCTGTGATATTATGAGTGGTCTAAGGATGTTTTCACTGCACACTGTGGATCCCATCTTTCCCAAGGAAAGGATGACCAGGTCAAGGAAACTTCCCAAGGACCAAACAGCATAAGAATGGGCAGTTCAGCAAGGCAGCTCTAGGTGCTCACCATGAGCTCTCAGGGCTATTTTCCTACCAGTCTAGTCTGTGTGGAGCCAGCCTCACCCTCCCATTCTGGGTTCTTTGTGTCCCAAGAACCTCCAGGTAAGAAATGATGGCCAGCAGTGGAGACCCAGTCTGCAGATGGGAGCCAAATTCTGTCCTGGAAGGTGACTCTTGGGAGAGCAAGAGCCAACCCACAACCTCAGTCTCAGGAACACTGGGCTCTACCTCATAGGCTCCAACCTAATTCCAGGGGCTATGACCTTCTAACAGAGAGACACAGGCAGGCAAGCATGGGGCACTCTGAGGGCCCGAGTAACAGGATCTGGAAGAATTGTTTGCCCAGTGTTAACTGTTTTCATATTAAAGAGTGTGGCCCTAGCTTATCAGCTGAGTTTCCCCTGCGTAAGTGTGACTGGAAACCTGCAGGCAACCTGCAAAGTGGTACCTTACTGACAATGAAGAGCTCCTGGCGTTTCACCACTCCTTTCTTGAGCTTCTCTTGCAGGGCCACTCCCACCTCCTTCTCATTCTGGTACACCTGGGCACAGTCGATGTGGCGGTACCCAAGGTCAATTGCTACCTTCACAGCCTCAGTCACTTGGCCTGGAGGTGACTGAAAGGAAAAGTCATTAAGTCATGGCCTTAAAAACTAAACAGGGCACAGAGCTGCACAAAGCCAAGGAAAAAGCTCAGTGCAAACCACTCATCCTTGATGACACTCTGGTTTTCAGGTTCTACCAAAGCAGGCCACGGTATGTTTCTGAAGCTGCACTCCACACTGTCAGCCCAAACACAGGTAGCCAAGGTGAGATGCTACTTTACATCACCTTGGGACACTCATGATGTCACTTATCAGCAGCATGGATCACTTTTAAAGATGTGCTTAAGCCATTTTGTTTCCCTGCTTCTTCACATGCATTGATTTACAAATTGCTGTATTAAAAGAAAACCCGCTATCTGAATCCTGAGACCTTATTCCCTATTTGCTTCAAATAGCTCAAAATATTTCAAAACTAGCTGTACTATTTATACCAGTTTCCATTTGTTTCATTTCAGGCAGTGAGGGCCTGTTCTTGGAAGCTGGCAATCACTTGTTTTTTAAGTAGTTCTTGGAGATTTCCATTAGTTAAGAACACTACTGATGTGCAGTCAAAGACCTATGAGTTAATTCTCAACATGATCACCTGCTTAAAGAGGTACAAATAAGACAAATGGCCCCTCAGAAAGGTCAGTGGACAGAAATGAGTAAAAAGGAGAAGGGAGATAGGAATTATGGAAGATCTCTATTTTGTTGTGGTCCACCCTGCAAAATCATGTGAGTGGCTATAACAGCTGTAAGAGGCCTGGCTGCGGAGGAGGAGTAAGAAGGGCCTGCAGAGCAGGTGAGCTTCAGCAGCACCCAGACAGGCTGAGCAGACCCCGCCAGCTCTTCTGCTCTGATCAGTGTCGAACAAGAAAAATGTGTACAATACACTGTTGAATGAACACAGCACATTCCTTTGGAGAGCTGGGATAGAAACAAATGAAAAGGTAAACTCCCCCTGGTCCATCAGCAGCTGCAGACATCTGTTGTTGTTTGTTTTGGGTTTTTTGGTACCAGGATCAAACTCAGGACCTTGAGCTTTGGTGGACTAAATCCCCAGATTTAGGTGGAGCTAAATCCCAGGCTTGACATCTGCTCTTGTGAATAGTCTGGAAAAGAAGCTGAACTAATGGATTAAGTCCATCACCAGAGCCTGATAGCAGCTTGCTTCCCACTGTGGAGGGGAAGGACCTATCTGTGTGCTTGGGCAGCCATGTTAACCTCAGATGTGAGGTCCCCAAAGGCCTTTAGATGATCTGGGTGATACCCAGCAGCCCCTGGCTCTGGACAGAGGGTGGGCACATGGTCCAGGCTTGGTTTAGACACACACCGTCCACCACAGTGATTGGTACAGGGGCAGAACACAACCCAGCCCAGGTCACGAGGCGCTATTTTTGGACTTGATTTGACCTAAGACAAGCTCCTGTTCTACCAGAGTTCCTTGCTGGGAGACTACGGGCTGTAGCTGATATACAAAAGTGAGGCTAAAAAGGAACCAAGGATTGGTGGCATCATTTATAACCCTGAAACCCAACACTAGAAGTTAGCAACTGTCATTTAGGAGGTCAATGAATCCCCAGCCCAAACACATCTTTTTTGCTTGTCTGTTTTCTGCTTAAGTTGGTTTTTCCATTCCTTGGAACCAAAGCATGCAGACTAAGATGACTGAGGTAGCCAGACAACTGGCACAAAATTTTTAAAAGTTCATACTTTTATAGAAAGATAAGACAGAAAAGACTGATAAAGGTAATGAAGGTAATAAAGGTTGCTTCTTCCTGACCCTTCAGCAGACAGGTAGCTTAAAATATGCCATACTCAAGACTGCCAGGAAAATGATTATAATGCGCCACCTTTCACTGACTAGCCACGGTCAACAGAAAGTACACTTTTTATTGTTTGATGCAGAGAAAGCAACCTCACTTGACTTGTATGTCCAAACAATTTTATGGTTCAGTGATGTAAACAGGGTTTCCAAATGGTAAAGATTGATGAAGGAACAATGATCCTTTCCATTGTCTTATCAAACCAGTCAATCTGGCTAATATTTTACACTAAAGCTCAGAGTCAGGTTTGGCAACAGCACAAACTAGTAAAAACTTCCTCTGTTCAACATCAGTGTTTCTGGCCTGAGTTCTAGGAGGTGTGGATGGACCAGGACTTGCCCCATATAAATAAATGTACAGTATTATGTCTGACATTAAAAATTTCATTGCAGGGCTGTTAAGGAAAAAAAAATGTCTTAAAAGGTTCCTGAATAAAAGGGCCAAGAGCAATAATTACAAAAAGGTAAGAGAATGTAGTTGTACCTCCATTCCTAGAAGTGTTCCTAGACTATGTGAGAAAGTTACAGTGACTAACCACCTCCTGCCAATAATTTTCAACTAGTTAAAAAACATCAGTTACAGGACACTAGCTCACATCAGAGGTCAGCTCTGTTGTAAAGGCCCTGAAAAATACTACGGGCTGATTTACTATCCAGCAGAGAAGACAAGTTGACCAGAAAGAAATGCTACTGAAGACACATGGGGTCTTGGGCAGAATGGGTATCCTACCTGCCTGAAATCCTCATTTCTGAGGTAAGCAGGGAGTTTGAGAACCTTTAATGGAACAGCAGATCAGAGACTACTAATTTGCCAGTCTGCAGACGACAACACAGCTACTGACATGGAAAGATACAGAAGAACAAGAACTTCCAGACTGCTCCAAATGTTATAAAGACAAGCAAATGACCATATCTTTTATTGAGCATCTGTGAAGGAAAACGCATACATACATGCAGGGCAAAGATATCAAGTCATTAAAAAAATTTTTTAAAGTTAATCCATCCTAATCCAAGCCCATACTTAAGATGATTTCCCCTCTATGCCCCTTTCTCTCTCCATACAATTCTACACCAACCTAATTCGCCCCCAGAAATGGTAGGCATTTTCACTAGTTATCTGTGAAGTTGCTTTACTTTTCCAAATTAATTCAATAACCTTTGCATACCTACTATCTGCCAAACTGTAAAAAGTGATAAAATAACAGTGAAGAAAGCCAGCCAACACAATTTTAGTTCTCAGCCAGAATGAATGATCTAAACACACATAATGTTAAACAAATACACAACTTTTCCAGGCTGTTGTATGATCAAGCAATTGATTTGAAATTCTTTTTTTTTTTTGGAGATAAAACTCTCACAGTTGTAGCCTAGGCCAATTAAGGACTCATTATGTGGCCCGCCCTGGCCTCAAACTTACAATTCCTCCTGACTGCTACGATTATAGAAGTGTGCTACACTTGGCTCTAAAACTCTTTTAATAAACTTTAATTCCTTACTCACGCTTGAGTGATGATCTTCCAATAATGGAGCATGAAATTAATTTCTAAAAGTGCAACCATAATTTCTGGAAAAATGGGCTAGAATAAAAATATCACACTGCACCCCACATAGGAAGGTTAAGCACTCTTTGTAAATTTTCCAGCAATTACATATATACATATCTGTGGGCTGCATTTGCTATAGTCAAGATAGTGTCAACAGATGAAATTTAAGTTGGTATCATGATCATAATTCAATTATACCCCTAGTCACCACAGACTTTAGGGAAGAAATACAAATTAGGTACTCTAATCATTTTGGCCAAGAAACACTTTCCATGCAAGGCAGATCTAGGACTCTGACCTTATCCTTACTAAGTTTCAACCGCAAATTTTTAAGGTAAAAGTAACCCATAATTCGTCCTATTTCAAACTATTCTTCCTGGTTTTTGCTTTTTTTTTCATTTCTTGTCTTTGTGGAAATATTTAATACCCACACCATGTTCAAGATTCCTGTAAGAAAAAAACCCAGCTCACAGCCATGGAACATAATGTACAGTACGCTGAAGCTAACTTACAGGTGGCTTTAAAAGACTGGATTTTATTTCAACTCCCATTAATACTACCTTTCTGTGTTCCTCAGTTTTCAGATAATCAGGTTGTTACCGTTTTTATTTTGTAAGTTGCTGTTTTCATACCATATTACCATATCTTCCAAATCCTATTGTACTTAATGATCTGCTGTCAATTTTATCTGGCTACGTGGTGATGAGGTTTTGGGGGTTAGGGTGAAGCCTGGCACCCGCTAGGTTATCAATGGTTGGTATCCAGCAATGCGATCCCCAGATTCTCACAGCCCAGAGTCCGAGTCACTCGGAGGCGTTCAGCTCCGTGCCTTCGGGGAGAGAAAGAAGCAGATGGATCCCGAGCAAAGTCGCACCACCTAATTTAATTATCTTCCATTTGCAGGCCTAACTCCCGAGGTTTTATTCCTGAGAGAGCAATAACCGTAACTATTTACACGTGAGGCACAGGTGCCACAGGTGAGTGGGCACGAGCTAGGAGCTCGGCTTCCGCCAGGCTTTCGGCCCAATCTCCGCGGGCGCTCCGGTCTCCCACTCCGGGCAAAGAGGTCTCTGGGCTGGAAGCGTCCTCCCCACCGAAGGCCGGGACGGAGGACACGGCCCCAGCGCGGCGCAGGGTCCCGCAGA